TGTAGCTCCAAGCTGATGAGGAGCGATCGTAGATAGAGAAGAGGCGTGCCAAGGTATTAAGTAAGGGCTTAGATTTAGACGATAAGCTATATAAAGATGTGGGCTAAAGAAGACATATGGGCTAGGGAGACCAAGACTGAGCATAGGAAGTGTAAAGCTAGACTAGCGTTCGTAGCCCTTTCGGCTTGGCCGCCGGGCGTAAATAAATTGTGTGTGTGTGTAGCTCCAAGCCAGATACCAGAGTTGATCTTCTCGAAATGAGAACTTACAGCGAAATCAATATCGACGAGACCCCAATTGTCGTTCTTGGATGTGGGCATTTCTTCACGGCAGAATCGCTGGATGGTCTCGTCGGTATGAGTGAAGTCTACACTACTAATACGTCAGGAGACTTCGCCGGCCTGGCAGATATCAGCAGCTCTCTAGCAACGAAGATACCCCGGTGCCCAGACTGCCAGCGGCCAATCATGCAGTACATTACTCAGCGATACAACCGAGTGATTAACAGAGCGGTGATGGATGAGATGTCAAAAAGATTTTTGATCAACGGCAAGAGTGAACTTCAAGAGTTGGAAAAGGAGGTTGAAGATCTTGAATCTGGTTTTGAAAAGTCGAGGAACGACATTAAGAACTCCACAAGGGATGTGGTGTCAAAGATTCGAACCCGATATCATGAGTCTAAGAAGCTACAAAGAAAGATTGAAGATTTCCTCCGCAGCGTTGCAGATCGACACCAACCAGCTCATAAGCTTCACGAAGCTATTGTCCATGCCAGTAGTAATAGCATTGTAGGAGGTTCTGGATCTCTCGCCGATGCACTTGGTTCGCTTAGCATCCACCAAGACGATATCTCCCCCGTCGAACGAGACCGGAGAGTGACTTTTGGTGGCCGCATTCTTCAGATCAAGGCTGATTCTATCTTGCTGGAAGATAAGTTCCAGATGACAAAGAAGCTCAGATCAAGTCCATCTACTGAAAATATGAAACTCCCGGGGGGTGATCTAGAAAATCTTACCCAAGCTTTCATGAAAGCTTGCGCCGCGCTGATGAATGATTGCGTGATTGAAAAACTTCCCAAACTCGCAGCGGAGGCTTCAATCTACTTCGCAACAAATGCGCACCTCTATCGTTCATCTGGGTTGTCTGGAGAGGACAGAAAGGAGGCAACTAAGTATGTCGAAAAGGCGAAAGAGTTGCTAAAGCAAGCCTATAAATTATGCGATGAACCTTTTCAAAATGCAAATCAACTGAAAAATTGTGTCAAAGAAAACATTGAGATTCTTGGAAGGGAGTGGTATGAGGATGTAACCGCCGAAGAGCTTGCCGAAATCAAGAAGGCGATGGTAAGTGGCAGAGAAGGTATCGCAACACACTCAGGTCACTGGTACAATTGCGCAAATGGACATCCTGTAAGTGTCGCAACCAGTTTATGTACAGCGTAAGAGCTAAACCTTTATCTAGTTTGCCATTGGCGAATGCGGAATGCCAATGCAACTTGCGCGCTGTCCGGAATGCGGCGCCGCTGTTGGAGGATTAGGCCATCAGGCTGTTGAAGGTGTTACCAGAGCTACACAAATGGAAGGATAGAGTGATTTGTGGTGGTAAAGCATCTGTGACAACATACATTGAGGTTCTCTAAGCGCTTTAGTCTATGTATAATGAACTGCAATCTGTAGCGCCTATCTGTTTTGCGTAATGCCCAGCCATTAAATCGTCTTCTCGAATCGCCATCGCTACAGAGCTAACTTGGAAGTAAATTGCTAACTGTGCTTGAAACTTCTACCAGATAAACATCGTTATTTCTCCACTTACAATTTTGATAAAAAGAACTCGTTGTTTGGAGTCGCTTCCTGCTCAAGGCGGATCTTCTTCTAAGCTGCTTCAGGAGCCGATATCATAAGGATCCTGATGTAAGATACCGACTAAGAGTATATAACTTCTACTGCTTGTGTAAGCGCTAATAGATCTCACCTCAATCGCAACCTTATCTATCAAGTTTGATCCAACCTAGTTTAGAACTCATGACTTCTCTCTTTCGTCATTTTTACGGCAGATGATGGCTAGAAAAAATGGTCTGAGACTGGTAGTACCTTAATTTCTCGAAGTAGAAAGTACTCCTTGAGTTCATTTACCATGAGAAGGCCGAGGACTTGCCTGGAAAGGTAGCAAAGCTATGTGAGTAAGATTTCCGCGATACAAACAATTTGTTACAGATCGTAAACGAGTCCCTTAAGCTCTTCCGAAACGATTAGTATGGGAAGTCATACCTAAAGTACTCGAGGCGACTAATAAATCAATGAAAAGTGGGCCAAGAGGGATCACTGCCTATTTAGGCCATAGGGGTAGTTTTGTGAATGGACATTCGGTATGTTTAGATCCTTATTACATAGTTACCGCATTTTCAGTTATAGTTACACAAACTAGCAATTGATAGTTTGCTATTAGGCAGTGTGGTGTAAGGATTGGCGGACACCACTACGAAGCCATGCAGGGAGTAGCTAATGCTGACAATATAGAGTTGGGGCATTCGTCTTAGGGTCAGATTTAGGCCATTTGGGCGCAATATAAATGATATTCACGACTAAAATACAAAATACAAAGTCCTTTCCTATCCGTTGTATTTTGCCTAAGGCTCTTGATTGGGAAAAGCCGTGAGAGGTAGCAAAATAGATTTGTAGGAACAAAACGCACGACTGGACTATATTTTCAAAAGAGACTAATGTCATTGGCACGATGTGTAACGAGATACTAAGTTCTCAATGAACCGGCCCCATCCACACGCCATTTAATTTGACAGCTTTAGTAGAAGGAGTCATGCACGACCCATCGAATTGAAGAATTGCGGTTATTGGGAATCGAACCTCAACGAAATTTCGAGCAAGAAACGAAAGCTCAAAGTAAATGCTTGCCCTCGTCTGGTGGCACCGGGCAGAAAGCACCAGTGCCCGAGTGTTGACAGTCGCCGGGATAGAGATCCGATTCGTACTGAACGAACGCGTACCGAATTCAAAGAAGACATAGGACGCATTTGAGACGGTCTGGATACGCATGAGACCATTGGGAACCCATTGAGGGTGGTCGAAGCTACGCCCACTCTCAAAATGACGCCAAAGCATAGGGCAAGTAAGTTCCCATAGGCTATGCTCCGAGAATGTCGCTGCGGCTAAGACTGCATTCCAAGATGCACTGGTACCCTCGCGGAGAGGATACTGCGCATCTGTATCAAACTTTGAACTACTCTTAGTAGCTTCGCGAAGCTGGCGTTCGCGGTCTACGTGTAGATCAAAGATCTTCTTTTGGAAAGCGAGCCTTGTTCCCACTGTAAAATCCGGAAGCCCGATACGTCTACAACGCTGCTGTATATGGAGAGCGTGTTGTTTCCATATAGTGGTCGGATCTGATATAAGCTCGCTCGAGCCATCTCCCTCGTCCCAGTCCTCCAGTGTTATTCCACCATCTTCGTCTTCCAGCTGCATGTCTCCTAGACTTCCTGCGAGTAACATGCCACTATCTTCTTCCTCTACAACTGAACGAAACATATTGTCGCGATTCACACCGAAATCAGACCCTTTGTCTAAATCCCGGTCGCGCAACACATCTTCAAGACTGTAGGTTCTCTCACTCCATCGCCGGCGGGCTTTCTCAGTGGTGGAAGTCGGTATTCCTTCCTTCGACATCTTCATATGCATAGCTAAAGCACAATGAGCGTGCTTTAACTTCTTTCGTACAGTTTCTACTCCGTCGGTATCACTGTCAGCCTTGCATGCATCACGCTGTTGTTGTAGCGTTGTGATTTCTCCCCGCTTTTCTCTAAGCCAGATCTGCAGCTGTAGCCTTGCTTGAGCAACAGCTTTGAGCTGTGGATCGTTGCCATGCGCGTCCTTATACCACCGACGAAGTGCGTGGTCCCGAACTTCGTGAAAGTGGTGTTCGAGGTGTTGCTTTTCATCTTCGGTGAGCTTCGCCTTTTTCGCCATCTGGAAATGTTAAAGTTAACAAGATGTCACTGTATAAGGTATACTAGTAGATAGTTAGGTGCTAAGTGTCTAACCTGAGTGCAAGGTTTCGGAAAGAGATTGGAAGTAGGATATGGGAGATGATGAGGATGGGAAGTAGCAAAAAGCGGGGTTAGCCATACCGGTACCTAAGCGACAAGATGCGGATTGTTAAACGCCGATCCAGACAGCAATGACACCACTACATTATATACTCATTCCCACGCTATATTTCCTAAATCTGATTATAAATTAAACACTGGAGTTGAAACGCACCTCAGGATGCGATGCATAAATGAGAGTTCGATATCTGCCCTTGAGAGATATACCAGAGAAGGGCAAAGGCCTCGTAGTTATTGAACACATTCTCAAAAGCACCCGAGTTTTAGTAGAGCAACCAGTCATCACGACACCCAAAGGCAAATGGGATGCTGAGAGGCTAAAGATACACATATCCCAACAAATGGAGCACTTCAGTGAACACCAACGACAATCACTCCTCCATATGTACAATCTTTATCCATACCAGAATATTGCTGAGCAGTCGTTTGGTATCATTCGAACAAACAGTGTGCCCATCGAGGCCAATCCTGAGATCAAATCTTTATTCTACCAGTGTTCGAATTTAGAATGGATCAGGCCATCAACATCTCCTATCATGATCGTTTACGTAGGTGTAAGCCCCACAATTGTGAGGTTGTGTAGACATAGCGTTGTCCTAGTCAGGTAGTCGTGATAGAAGATTCTTGAAGATGCTGCCATATGTAGCATCATCGTAAAAGCATCACTGATTTCACCAGGATGAAAGTGACTAACATTCGAACATTTCGACAATCATCTAGGTTTTACTGTCACCCATCGAGGTGCTATCTGTAGGAGAAATAGTACCCAGCGTCCATAAGAAGGTAACGTCAAGCATTTCATAGCCACATCCAGAATGATTCCATCCCCCTATACGAGTCAAAAATTATTTCCGACTTGGCACAATACACATCTTATTATCTTTGTCAAAGTAGTACTCTTTGCTCTTCAAAAAGTTCCGATCTCCAAGCCTGAACCCTTGCAATAAGAGTGACCTCATGTCAGCGCATCTTAACACAAGACCGTCCCATTCTTCTGCGCTTCCTTGAATGCGTTGTGGATCATTGAAGTGCGTCGCAACGAAAGTAACATAAAACTCACGTAGTTTAGAGTGCATGGCACTGTTGTCGCATGCATATTCTACGTTACTTGTCGTGACTGCTGTGTTGAAGGAAGTGGCTGTATACTGCGTGTACAGACGACCCATGGCGTAGTTCTTGAAGCCTGTGCACAGAAGCTTATCGCCAAGGACCCAGCATTTAGCGTCAATGCTGGTACTGCTACTTGTATTCGCTGAAGATAGAGACAGTTGTGTGACGGTGTACTGACCGTAGTACATCCATTCCACGAACAGAGCGAACACGGCCACATCGTCGTCTGGGAGCTCAATTCGGTTCTCACGGCGCTCCCTGAAGTCCTGAGAACAAGCAGCTTCAAGAAAAGGAGAGTAGTGTGATATCAAGGCTTTCGGTAAAGACCAAACCTTATGAGGATCACTGTTCGGAAGATCTTCCATGGTGACCGTCGTGCCAACATGTACGTCGATGCCAGGGCCACGAAGTCTGTCAAGTTTAGTCCTTTCTTCTAGAAGTAGTTATGTCGAATTGAAGACCATACAAGTCAAGATAGCTATTACACTTCGTGCTATTTGTCCCTGATGGGGGTCGTAACGTTACGGAAGAAGTTGTATCAAAGCTGTAGGGAGAGATTTCTTGAAATACTCCCACTCCACGCTTGTAGTCTGCAAGCCTCAGCTCCTCGTGACTAAAACCCACACATTCTAGCTGAGCCGAGATAGCCTGGTACTGAGATTTACAATGGCCATACTCGATTTCTGTATGCGGGCGCAGCTGTACTGAACCAGTACCATTGGTGTGAGTATTTGGGTCTTGCAGCGGGGGTTAACAGAGACAAGCCAGTAACGTTTGGTGTTCAGGTTCGCAAGAGGCCTTACAAAGCGAAACGGAAGTACAGGGGCTCGTACCAACTGTAGTAGAAAGCCTATTTTCAGGCATCAATGTAGAGAAAAATTACAGGATAGAAAGCTTACATACTCAGAGCTGGGACAAGGCTGCGTAGCAGACTCTGACGGAGAAGGCAGACCGGTGTCCTCAAGTTGCTGAGCAGATTTTTTGCCTTCTTTCTTCGCCATGATCAGTTGGGACATGGGACGAAGTGCATTTTAATGATGATAGTGATGGGATTCCAGGCGCAATTGCCTCGACTGATCTAGATGTAGTGGGTTTGGTTGACAACCTATGCGTTGTGGATTATAGCGAGGCAAGTGCGGGGCACGACCAGAACTCCTAAGTCACGTGGTAAATGTTAAACGCACCCCGGAGAAACGAAACATTCAGTGGTAGGTACAAATGCGAGCCGTACGAACACGCCTAGTTTATTGTTCAACTTACTTAAATGCCATTCCTCTACGAAACTGTTCTTGTGACCCTAACTTACTGAATTAGAAAATGTAAGTTGATGTTGAAGTTTTTGGAGGTTTCTCACGTGTTCACTTTGTTCTTGGCGCCTGCCCTTTGTGGGCCCTCGAAAACGACCAATGTTACAGCACGTTGAATTCTGCCTAATGTTTTTCACCACCCAAGAACTCACCGCGAGTAATAGCAATCATCACAGTATCAAATTTCTAAAAATCACGCTCCTCTTCTATGCTATCTTGTCTTGAGTACTCTTATCATTGTTAACGCCACATACCCTGAGCTTCACCACACGGCACTGCTAATCGCTTTTGGGTTGCCTTACGAGCATACGCTACTTAGAACGGTCTTCTAGTCCTATTGCGGTTTGCAAGTAACCGATCATGTCATTTCTTCCATAAGACTGGGTTTGGGCAGGCGGGCACACAGGTGATTAGTCGCTCGAACGAGTCGAGCGGATTTGATCATAAGATGAAGATAAATGCCTTCAGAAGAGAGATTGAGGGGAATATACTACACTAGCCTTGGTATACAGGAATATACGTCTCAATGTACTCAAGTTCTCTTGAAACAGGGATTGCCAATTGATACAACTGAGATCGTGTCTTGTCTGGCCTATTGTGGCAGCTCTATTGCAAGCAACGATGCACAAGAGATCAATGTTCTCTCTAATGCTGAAGACCATCCCTAGAGACTCGAAGACGCCAGAATGGGGAAGTCGCCATGTTATATTCGGAGACTCAAGCCTGTCGATTGGCACGGGGACGTTGGACCATGAGGATCACATTTAATCAACAATCAATCCCTATATCTTCTATAATAATCTCCAGAACAGTATAAATAAGCAGAAGTAGAATCGCACAAGGAATAGTGGGGTTTTGGAAAATCTCGAATTTGAGTACCGCAATGCAAACAATGGTGATGGTATTCTGTAACGCGTATGGAGTTTTGATGGCTGTAGAACGCAAGAGTTTTGCGCATCTTGGACGTGGAGAAGAATATGACTACGTATTTGCAGTCAGCACCGGGAGGGAGGGGTGGCTATGAAGCTGTGGCAGGTTGCCAACGTTCTGTTCATAAGGGCCATTGTTCGTTCACCAGACAGTAAGAAAATGAGCTTGATGGCGAGATGCAGTGGATGCTACGCAGGCAAAGCAAACAGATTGGGGCCACGGACTGTATGTAAGCGACAGTACGTGAGTAATGGAACAGGTCACGTGATACATACGTTGCGTAGTCCGCTTGCCAATGCGGCAGATGCATACTATTATCAGGACAAAGATCTCTTGATTTAAGCGTCGAATGTGGTATTAGACTAGCATTCAGCCGCATATATGACAGGCTCGTCTTGAACTTTTCGGAATCTTAAATGCGAAGAACTTTGCCAACAGATTGTATATGTATGTCCCGGTGGTTTTGATACGAGCTACAGTGGATGATATCATACAAGGATTGGTTAACAGTTCTCAAGTTATTCACTAGAACTTCGAATGGAAAAGGCATCTAAGCATTGTCCAGTAGGCCTTCGAAAAATACGGTAAGGGAAATAGTTTAACTTTTAAGAGGAAACCCAACGTGCGATCTTGGCCTAAGATTACGGAATATAGCGATACGATCTTCAAAATTTGCTTAGGCCGCTAACTTTTAGAGGGGGTCTTTAAAAGGTGACTGTGCGGCACTAGGTGAAGTCCTTGATTTCAGGGAAGGAGTGCTTGGAAATCGATGCGGATAGTTACATGGACCTAGACTTATCAAGGAACTCAGATGAAAATCAAGACATCTTCAGCGCTTCTAAAGGATCGGGTGGTCATTCAAATGACTCTAAAGTCCCTGATTGTGAAAGATTGCCCATAATCACCTCAGGCACATCAGCATATGTGGAGATGGCTAGAATTATGGGGTTCTTCCAGTGCGATGACCGAGAAATAACGACAAACATGCTGCTTGAAGCCATTATGACATGTAATATCGCGAATGAGCATGCGACATCTGGGCCAGAGCTCATACTCGATCACTTTGGCCTAAAGGCTGAGCCATTTAACTCAACATCAGGTATGCCTGGTCCTCAACCTTTATGATAAGACAGTATTCTTACAAAATGATGAGAGACACTAAAAGAGCATGCATCCGCTACGGACTCCTTTTCAAACTTGTTGAAAAGTCTTCTTTATGACTGAGAAGTTTTACCCAGAGAGATCCTTCAAAGAGACATAGAGTTATTTTCCGCCATCCAACTGCAGCGTCGAGCGATAGTGTACTGCGCCTTTGAGACTGTCCGCGCCTGGTGCAAGCGGTTCAAATCACTACGACAATACATCGTCGTATTTTGGGCTCAGTATCGATACTTCTTGGTATGTTAGCGGTCTGATATCAAACGTGGTACTTAGACCAACTATCTTATTTACCACTTTTCTGTTCCTCATTTTGCCAACCGCAGAAAATTACTGTTCTTGCCCGTCATGGCGACGGCCAGCGCCATCGTTGTTTGGGCATGCACCTGAGCTCCGTCGATCTTCTTGTATGGTACGACATTTGATGACAATCATATCGTGAGGAAAGTTGCAGATCATCAACAACAGGCCGCAGCTTCGAGAAAAATTGCTCAACACCTGGCAACAATACGATTTAGAAGACCTGACAATAAAGCTGGTTCAAGGTTTCCGCATTCCAAGTATCAATACCGATGCACGAATGATGCTGAGGTTGAGGCCAGGAATGACTGATATATGCTTAGACGAGAGAGTTGAAGGCGTTTCACATGATCATACGAATCTCGAACTGGATACAGACTGTTTACATAGCTACCCTAACCTCGTGGATGCTATGGAGCAAAACGGTAAAGTATTCATACCTTCGACAACAGACTTGGATGAGCCTAGTTGTTCATAACAGTTTAATAACGAACAACTCATGTCCAGCCATGTTAATGGCAATTTGATAGCAGACAATTACAATTGTAATACAGAGACAATAATAGCCACTTCTGACTCATTACCAAATAACCTATGCCAGGAAACAATGGGGTTGGCTCTTTCGGTGGAAGTGCGCTCAGGATATGACCAAGTCTTCGACGGAATTTCTTTTCCAGGGCAGCCGGTGCATGAAAATCTTTTTCACATAGATGAAAGAGATTGGAGTCAATGTTCACTCCCGCAAGATTTCCATTTGTGGATTAGCTCAGAGTTGGTAGAGAATTACTCATTGTAATCCAGTTCGCTGAATAAGCTTGATTACTTTCTATTTGCTATGTTTGACGCTTTTACAAAGTCCTGAGACATTCCATATTTTGGTATTATTCGACCCAAAACAAGCTACTGGAACCTGGTCTAACCTCAGGTTCTGGAGAACCTCAATTATCATCATCAAACAATGCCAAAGATACGTCCAAGTCGCTTTTGATTCTCACATGAGAAGCATTTTCGAGTAGATTTGACTAATAGCAAAAACTTCTCGATGTTGTTGGATACATACGGGTATTTTACAAGAGTAGCAAACTATACAGCGGATTGCATATCATTCGATATGGGACATGCATGGCTGCAAGCTCTGCATAGGGATCTGGCGCCGCTTTCTTAACGATTAATAGAGATTTAGCCAATTATATGTGAACTACCAGATTCTGGGTTAATAATGAAGTACTTGCATATGATTCATGTCAAGAAGAATGTTCTAAAAGCCGTTGTTGAGCCATTTTGTACCTGGTATTGGATGGACCAGAGCGCTTAAGAGTAGGTTACATATTAACATACCATAAGCCAGCCGCTAGCGAGGAACCATCTCAGTCCTTTGGACGGGTAACCTGATGTAGAAGACCTCAGAGTCTATCTCACTCTATCACCTCGTCTATGGCAAGATAGCCCGATTTTTCTCCATTAGTAAAAGTCAGACTATCCTCAAAAATCCTTTTGTCACGATCACCTTCCGCTAAATGAGCTTCCCATTTCCTATACGTCGATTCGTCCTTGAACACGAGTTCTGTGATAGCATCGAATCCTGGCGACTTAGACTCTGTGTTCAATTTTATATACCGGCGCTTGTAGAGCAGGGGCGCATATCGTTCGTCTTGCAATGACTTCACTAAAGGTACATTTGAAATCTCGTAATGTGCTTTGAATTGTTCAAAAGAAAGATGTGGGGCCTTATAGATGATCGCAATTTTCGTAAACGTCATTGCTTGGGGCTGGATTTTTTGCTTTCTCGCTTAGACAGGGCTTGCTATTTTGATAAGGTCGGCGCTAGGAGCTCCGGTAGGGAAAGCCTGGGAGATCTGTTATCTCGAATAGTTCACCTTTATCCGAAACAGTTACCGGCGAAGAGATGGTAGTATGTATATCCCTGCAGCTCTTACTATGCACCAACCATGGTTGGAAGCCTCCTGCGCTTTGCATTTTGCGTCCTGTCTGGCCTCGTTTACGAAACATCGCGATCGATAAGCAAGTCATGATACGACGTGCAGTGCAAGAAAGCCGAGATGACGGTCCCCGCATATGTGGATGCTAGTGGATCCTGTTCAACAATACTTTCATAAATTTGCAATTCTTCTCGTATATGGTCCACTTGATCTGGCAGAAACTTTGCAGCAGAGTTTTCTATCGAGGTCCTGCGCTGCAGTCATGTGCTTAACCGGAAGAAAAACGCGATTTCTTTCCAATAGTTGCGATGTCCTCTTTCCCACGACTAGAGCATAAGCTTTGTTATACCTGGATGCGCTTATACCTAGGAGGACTTTTGATACAGATGCCGACCTTGTACCGTGTAGCCCGACGACGTGGAAGTTCAATATCATTGTAGTCTTACCTGCTCGCGACTTTGGGGACACCCAAACTAATGTGCACTGTATTTGTGATTCAATAAAGTGGATCATGATGCAAAATTGAAATCTCGATGCGGTAAGGGCTGATGAGTCAAACCGTTGATCGATGTCAAGGTAGAGCAGAGAAGCAGTTTCTGGATTTGTTTTCGAGAACTCCTGAGGATTCTGGATATATGTAAACGATATCTGGACGAATCCATCGAAATGATTGTTTGTAATGCATGAGCGGTGGTGACTGCTGGAATTCCTGGGTATTGAGATGATTGCGGTTACGTGACTCGTTTTGTGGAGAACACTATACGTAGCGAGGTCCTTTCTATCGTGTGATTCGTATTTGGATATGAAAAGCAATAATGCATGATTCAAATGTTTCTTGGTACGGCTCTTTGATCGTACGACGATACGGTCAGCGCGTAGCGCTTCGTCTTGCACCAAGCTGAGCCATCTTGCTCTATCCAAAGTCATCCGCACGTTATTCGTGTATGGCATATTTGCTTTACCAATTCTATATCTTCAAAAGAATCACTCTAGACCCTACCAAGTTTGATGATCATTGTCATTTCCCTCTCACGAGCTAACAGGACGCCGAGTTTTTGACGTATCGCTATATCAGGTGTAGCTTCTTCGTGCAGTGGGTCTATGCTATTCACAGTCGGGTAACTCGCATTTATTAATTTTCATGTTGTTTGTCGTCAAGAGTATTCTGATCTGAGCTTAAGAAGTAAAATGCACGAACCATGAGCATTACACTAGTGCTATTATTACGCAAACTAAGGAAACAAGAAGAAACCATACACAGCATAGAATAAGTCCAGTCAAGTTACCCTGACGACATTTGCCATTGACATATAGTTATACTAAATTATATCCTTTAATTCGAAAGCAAGCCAATAGTTTGAAATATAACGTAAATTGTGATTCCATCGAGCATATTCATGACTCATTCCTGCCTTCTAAAGTGTGCACTAAGCTGTACAGGGTATGTCGGTCGGCGACTTCGACGGACTCACAACGAAGTCGTCGTATGCGACGAGGCTCCCACTGTGGGGAGTGAGGTTTGGTGAACCGTTGGCACCTTTGGTCACAGTGAAGCGACTCGAATAGCTACAACTTTCAAGTTAGCGTGATTCATAAAACTGCTTTGGTGCTCGAGGAGCAGTGAAGGTGAACCGTACTATGCCAGAGAACAATTGCCACCATCAAAAGTAGTCTCAATAACACCAAGCACCTGGTAGGTCTTCTGCGCGGCCGTCTCTGAGGAAACAGTTGTTATATTCGGTAAATGATCCCAATGCTTGTTGCCCGCCGTCGGGAGGAGCGCCTGTTTCAACGCGACAATCTGCTCGGCTCCGGTGGCAGTGTTTTCAAGAACAATGAGCTTCCCATCCGCTGTGAAGAAATTGGTGAACCTTGTTGTAGCAGCGGGATCCTCAGCAGACGCATAAAGCCTACAAAAGAAATTTAGCGATCTACCTCTTGAATGCACTCGCAGGGGAATTCTTGGGTAACATACTCTTGCAGAAAGGGCTTGAACGCTGCATCAACTCCAGTTCCTGCTGAGTATAGAGACATGTCAACTGATACAGCCATGCCTACGAAACACGCAGGGGCAATGATAGATGATAGCTTCATTTTAGCGATTTTGATATCAATTATAGACAAGACAAAACTGTAGTGCACGATGAAGTTGTCGGGGGCTGGAAGTTTTTATACCCAGACACCCCAATACCGCCGCTGAATTACTCCATGGAAGGGATTTCCTTTCAACTCACACCGGCTCTTCTTAGCATCATTCAGGATGGAATAGTTTGACATATCGTCACCTGGGTTTCGCCTGCTCCCTATCCAGACTAGAGTCGGGCCGAACTGTAGAGTCGGGCCGGACAAATAGTGCATCTACACTGCACAATATGATGATGGTAGCCTGTGAAGGGTCTCCTCAAGACGTTCAAATCCTTTCGCAATTCCCTCTTCCTACTCATTGCTACAACCACCACTACCTCAGGGATCTTCTTTGGCTTCTACTACTTCTCTAGTGTTTATGTACGGAGTGATGGTACAAGGCTTCTTAAAATGGTAAGCCCGCGCCCAGGAATAGCGGAGATTGCTACTTTGGTATTCGAAGGATCATAGAAGTGGACCTGTTTTAGTCATGCATAGATAACACGATTTCATTCAGGAGATAAGTGAGGCAAGCTTTGTCTATGGTAGTAGGGGTATTCCGAGTAGATTTAGCTTTTAGGTTCTAGTACGTAATCCTATCAGATGTACCGGTGTTTGAATAGGAGCCAAAAGGATTTTGTGAGCGAATACCTGATTTTAGTGTTCATGGAGAAACCCTCTGGTAGATTACTAGACTTCAGAGCTTCGGGTATGTCATTGTGCTATCGTAATGACTGATGTTATATTCAGAATATGTATGGGATAAAAGGCAGGTCTTGCCAGGATAGTGTACCTAGCTCTGATCAGCATCATTGAGAATAACGCTACAAATTTTGACGAAAAAGCCCAAACTCTACTTCTACTATACCCCTCACCATACTCTACCCGGAAGATAGCCTATGTGGCATGAGAGGTCATCCTGGGACGGAGGCTGCTGCCACCTTTTGTTGTAAACATTTAGCAAAGCCAGCAAATTCAGAGATCCAAAATATACCGTCATCGACGATGAACTACTCAGCTCACATCACTGCTATATGTATTTTTTCACATGCCATCTCAACAACTGTCTCAGAGAGGTCAGATATTATACTGTCGACCATACCAGTAGAGGCATAGCCGACTTTGGAGTGGGTAAAAGAAATGAGGCCGTCACTTTGCCCCGTTTGCCTCCACCAGTGGCGGCATACCGGTAGATAATGTTCTAAAACTAGGTCTTACTAGCAGCAAGACCCCGCACCAATTTCTTTAGGGTATGTACGAGTGTTTGCTTTTGTTGTAGAAATTTCACAAAGTAGCGTTCGGCTAGATGAATATCAGTGGGAGCGTGGCGCTCAGTGATCGCACTAGACATACCGGAATTGTTAACGATGAATATATCTATAAGAATAAGAGCTGGGGGAGAAATGTCACCCAAACTGCTATTGTGCTGACGGGGCTGGAAGCGGTGGTACTTGGCCCAGCAGGGATTGAATTGTGTGTGAGGAACAACGACATCCATGTCTTGGTGCTGGCCGCTCTTCGGAACGATTGTTCTTCTATGCTAGTCGTGAGCACTAACTCATACGAAACTATGCGAATTACGTCCAGTCATCTTTCGATGTGCGTCTGCTAACATTCACGTTGCGTCTGGTCGGACTACGAAGGGAGAAAAGGATATTCGATCCGAGTGTGTCGTATCCACGTTGAGTTGGCTTTGTAAAGTTTATTCGCTTAGATTGTGAGCGATTTGTAACAACAATAATGGCTAGACTGTACAATCAGGTCTCAGGTTAGTGTAAAGAGATGCAGTTAAGCGCACGTAATACCAACGATGTAAGAGGAATGACTAACTACCTCAATGTTGAAACGTCAACAAGAGTTATTTTTCGCGCATAGCAATAACTAAATGCTTCTAAATATCATGATTATCCACATCGCAATATCTGAATTGTTACAAACATATTTTCCTCATTTCTCCCACATCACATCCTTCACTTTCTTCGTTGTAGGCACTGCTATGCTTGCTGCTGATCCCGCTTCGGAATTTCCACCCTGCCGCGTAGTTGCAAGCCCCAGCAAAGAAATGCAACCAGCCAAAGGATGAAACTACTACGGCAAAGACATAAGACCAAAAACAGGTCATAGTACCTGCAAGCTCCTTCGCCCGGGCAGTGTGTTCTATATAGGGCCATGTTCAGTTTAGATATTTCCCCTTGTCTCATATGTCCAAAGACGGCATTGAAAATCTACAGTTGCATGTCTTGCCTGGGTGTTGACAACCGTTGTTTGTCTCGGCCAACATGCCCGTGGGCATTACTACATCGAGTGGCTCTACCAAATGCTTGAATCATGACGGTGAAATACAAAATGCGTATTTGGATCGGATCTACGGCCCGTGAGGATATCTCATGTGGCTTCATGTTTCGCTATTTCATCTCTCTTGGACACTTCACTTGCTCATGCCTGATTTTCCTTCTCACCTTCCTAAATTCCCAGGTATCTTTCAGCTTCTATCACTGGAATGGGCTATTTCGTGATTGATGAAAACTTGAATTGTGTTTGATCATTGAATGAAAAAGACTAGGTCTATGTTACTACCTAATTGTTGTTGCCAGTGGCGACGCCCCAAAAGTACGCCGCCCATGCACCAGCGATGAGGAACAGAAGTGCAGTGAACAAAGTTATGCTAACACGACGATTCTTCCTCCCTTGATCTCCACTGGTAAAAGCTTCCTTCCGCTCATTGATGAGATCGCCTTTGATCAGCCTATTTTTTCGAGTCCATTGTAGATGACCAATGTCTGGATTGAAGACGCCACATGCCACAAGGGCAGCCGCGACGACAACAGATCCAACGGCGAGAACCACATACACGATGACCACGTTGTCATACGAGTTGTTATCGCGGTCTTGAATGACACCAGTGATGATGCGGATGATGATGTTCATGCTGTTGTTCACAGCAATCTTGACCGCATAGCCTGAACCAAAGACCTCTTGATACCACATGGCCGTGCGAATGGAATCGATAATGACGGTTGGCCCGAACATGGATGCAACGCCGAATATGCCAAACGAAGCCGCTGTCCCACCGATGGTTGGACCCCAAGCGGCCAAGCACATAGAAATAAGCATGCCGAAACCGCAGAAGAGCATAAGGGATAGGCGGTTTCCAAATAGGTCGACGAAAATACCAATTAGCGGTACCAGGAAAAAACCCAGGTATTGCGACATGGCCGAGTACCAGCCAGCTGTAACTGCATCAATATTGAAACGTAGTTCAGCCATTTCGGTGGCATTCTGCGAGTAAACGACCGCTGCGCTTGTTTGGAAAAGTGAAAAGGCAACGATTCCCCAAAACGGCCAAGGCAGCCTCAACGTTTTGCCGATTTCAAACTTCTTGTTGCTCTCTGTCAACTTTTCACCCGTTGCTGGATCAGCAGTACCAGCGTAGATTTTCATACACCATCGCGCGAAGAACCAGTAGATGAGTGTCATGAAGTTGGTGAAAAGGTTCATGAAGACCGCTGTCCAGTACACCCAGCTAAAGTCTCCAGTCTTCTTTGCGATAACATTTGCGGTCGCTTTGCCGACGAAGGATCCGATCTTTCCGATTCCGAGCTCGAAACCAAGCGTGGAAGCGAAACCGTTGGAAGGCGCGAACCACGAGCTGAAGATTTTGTATTGGGCGACCTGGGTAGCGATGTCTCCAAATGCCTGTATGACAACCCCAAATATCATGAATTTGTAAGAGCGGACCGTCGTCGCAGCGGCGATGAATATGGCGCCAATACTATAGATGGCGTTGCCGTAAAGCATGGCATCTATGGCTAGTTGTCAGTCTCGATGATGTTTACGCAGGGAGGAGCACCAACTTGCACCGCCAATCCTATCCGTAACAAGACCACTGACAAGGATGAGAGCCGTTTTCATAAAGTCTTCGCTCGCCTCCAGAACGGCGTATTTGGCGTTGTTGATGTGCAATTGCTGTATACTGTCAACACATCCTGATGATAAGCTGTGAGAGTTGTTGATGATACCTTTTTCAGTGTGCTCTTCATTGCCCCTGTTACGCCGCTGCTCCAATGGGACCCAAACCCAATCGCCGTGACCAAAAGAACTGCAAACAACTTCATCTTCATGGGAACGTCATTGGTCTGGGCAATTGAAGCGCCGCTGCTCGAAGCTTCCGCGTTGCTGCCCTGCTCTTCGGCATTGTGAGTTGGGCCGGACTTTTCGTTGACAATACCATGTCCGTGACTGATGGCGGAGGGTTTGGTGTCCATGGTCATAAGACGTGGCAGCCGTCGAGAGGGGGGAGCAGGCGTTTGATCAGATAAGATGAGCAACTGGGGCAGTCATGGCAGGCGGGTTTTGTACGATTATCTGGGACAAGTTGAGTTACGCTAGACCCATGGCTCCACCATCAGCCCTGTGTGAGTTTCGGCCCTTTCTCTCGTATCGTTACTCGACAGCCCATGGTGCAAGAGTTGTTGAATGTCTCCGGCTCAGTAAGCATTCTGTCAGGTTCATGACAGGCAAATTGACCGACGGACTCTGCCCAGTGCCCTTTACACAAATTCATACTGTCGATCTGGCTGAAGCTGCAAACGCTGAACTGTACCTCGTAGGTCTTACTGCACATCCACGGTACATGGAAAACCTCACATCATGCTTGATACCCCAAGCTTCCATGGCACATGAGGAGCTAACGGCTCGGGGTCGCTATAGGGCATAGTGTCGCAGGCGCAAGTGGACCGTGCAAGTCGAAAATTTTATCAGATCCTGCATGATAAGGTGCCTGGCATGGTATATCAGGAAGCGTTGCGATATCGGGCTTAAGGCACGGAAGCGCGACGGGTCTGGGCTAGTCATGTGCCGAAAGTGGAAACAGGCATGCCCCCTTGTTGTCCCAATTCGTCTGGTCGTACTACATGTTGATGTGCATTTAGACACGAGTAGATACGGATATAGGTAGGACGAATGTCACGAACCTATGAAGCGGAGAAAGGGTGGGCGATGGATGGATGAATGAATGAATGAATGAATGGATGCGAGCGGACGCCAAGGCTGGCGGTCTTTCTTGGCAAGCTAACTTCATTTGGCGCCTATGCACTGTGGCCAATCGTTGATGTTTTGCTTCTCACTACCTAGACTCCGTTCAGGCATACTGTATGGATAGTAACAGCCAGCTGAACCGGTCCATGCGGCATTGCTATCTTGTCAATCTGGAACATTGGCAATAGTATCTCGAGCGGACTTTGCTGTGCCAAACGATACGTACATCGCGCGTTCGGCCATTGGCACGCAGAATTTGCAGGCAGGTGACTGGGCACTGGCAACATTCGACCAACATTCTGCCAGCTCGAGCTACCAACCCGACAAAGACATGGCCGATTTCCAGAGTGCCAGCAGTCGGTTTTTAGCCTGGTTCAAGGATTGTGGAGGCATCTTCCGCGACGATCTTCTGGAAATTCGAGACCTAAGGTCCAAAGACGCCGGTCGCGGTATCAGTACGTCAAGCATCATCGCAGCCAAGGAGTCATGGTAGCGTTGACTATTATGCAGTTGCGAAGCAGGATATTCCAGAGGATACCACTCTCTTCACAATACCAAGAAACATCATCATTAGTATACAAACGTCAGACCTTGCCGAGAAACTTCCTGGGATCTTCGAACAACCCGTAGATGCAGATGACGACGACGACAACGGGGATAGCCAGGACCACGAACCCGAGGCATTGGATTCATGGGGCTCACTAATCCTCGTTATGCTCTATGAATACCTGCAGGGTGAGGCTTCGCGATGGAAAACTTACCTTGACATACTCCCGCAAGCTTTTGAAACCCCAATTTTCTGGACAGCAGATGAGTTAAAAGAACTCGAAGGCACGTCTCTTACAACGGAAAAGATTGGAAAAGAGGAAAGCGACCGAATGCTGCGTGAGCGCATCCTGCCCATAATCACAAGCCATCCAGATGTATTTTTTCCGCCCGGCGCCCCTCGCCTAGACGAAGAAGACCTTCTCCCACTCGCACATCGTATGGGCAGTACCATCATGGCATACGCTTTCGACCTTGAAAATGAGGAGGAGCAATCCGAGGACGAAGAGGACGGTTGGATCGAGGATCGAGATGGCAAGAGTCTGATGGGCATGGTGCCCATGGCAGATATGCTTAACGCCAACGCCGAATTCAATGTAGAGTCCCCAACCTTTCGACAAGAGTCATACTAACACTGCGCTCTCGTAGGCCCATGTCCACCATGGTGACCAGCTGCACGTCACCTCCCTCCGCGAAAGCATCCCTGCCGGATCGGAGATATTGAACTACTACGGGCCTTTACCTTCATCCGAGCTACTCCGACGATACGGTTACGTGACACCTGAACACCACCGTTACGATGTTGCGGAACTTCCTTGGAGCCTTGTTCGCACAGCACTTGCCGAAGAACTGAAACTATCAGAAGATATCATTGCGGACATTGAAGTATGTATTTTCTTGTTACCCGCTAGCACAGGTGGGGATATGCGCTGACATCGATAAAGGGCGAAGTTGAGAGAAAGCTGGACTCAGAACTGGAAGAGTTTTTCGTGATCGAACGCGACGCGGGTGAGCCGTCGTCATATGGCACGTTGACTCAGCCACCAGTGCTTCGTGAAGTATCATCTGAACTCGAAGAACAAACAAAGACTTTTCTGAGAGCTCTAAAAAAGCTAGATCCTAAAAGAAAGCGCAGCGAGGCCATATATGATACAGTCTTAGAGAAAGCCTTGATGACTAGATTGAGGCAATATCCTACCTCAGCCGAGCAAGATGAATCGCTCCTCAGTAAAGAAAGTCTGGGCAAAAGGCATCGCATGGCTGTTGAGGTAAGATTAGGCGAGAAGCGCTTGTTGCAGGAAGCATTGGCCCTGGTCCAAGCCGGCAAAAACACGGTGCGTGAGCATGAGGAGGAAGGGCGAGCGGGAAAGAAGGCGAAGCGCGCATCTTGAGCAGGTTCAAGAACAACCGTGATTGCCGCCCTATGAATCCGGTCTACGTAGATAGGAGTGAATGGAGAGCGGCGGGTGCTCAGGGATTGTTCGCTTTCCGACGTTTGCGCGAACTTACCATTCCTAGACATATTGTGTCCAGGTCTCCACAGTTACCAAAAATATAATTACACGCGTTGAGCGGATTTTCAGCAGCGACTATGGAAGGAAGAGGTCATGGTCGAGAAACCTCACAGCAAGCGCAATGCCCAGCATGATGCAACGTCACTGCATCTATATTTTGCACAGCTCCGTCCTGACTCATCCTTTGGTCGACAAAACACTCTCGTATTCTTCATCCGTATACACTCGCGAATCGCTTTGGACTAGACAACGACGTCAGCAAACATCACCATTCGCTTCGTGCAACACCTCCTTCCTCGCTTTGCACGTTCGAAGCAGCCTCTCGGGCCAACTGTATACGAAGATAGCGTGCCCAAAATCCTTGAATTCCTGTAGATACTCATATCCTTTCCGCATCGATATTCACGTTCACGAGGTAGAAGGCAGCAAATTTCAGCGTCGGACGTATTACGCACCATCGCTCACAACCAAAACTATCCACAAGACCCGTTTTTTGGAGCAGGATCATCATGGAAATGCCATGGGCAGGATCCGCACCAGGTTCTCTATCTAGCCTCGATCTGGCGAGCGAAGAATCATGGGGTGACGAGAAAATTCGCCCTTTCTTTCCCCCACCAGACGAGGACACATTCCCTACCGAGCAAACCTTTTTGGCTAGTCTGGTCCCCGTACCTTTGGAGACCGTCGAGCATGACAATAGAGAATGTATATTCTGCGAAACACGTTATGGGGAGATCTCAGATTCAGCACCGGGCAGTCCGGAGATGCCAGTCAGATTACGATGTAATCATGTCTTTGGCGAACAATGTGCACGTAGACATTTCGGTCAACGCTTGATTATCGAGTTCAATATCCGCCCACTAGAATTCCACCCAGGAACCAGAGGCAACATCTTGATCTCGAAGCTACATGGCCACGCTGTAGAAGTGGACCAATATCTGGGCGACTTCAACCTCTTCAAAGGCCTCCTGGACAATCTCCATGATGCCGAACGCTTAAATCGATTTTTTGGGCCATAGTGGGGTCCCATCATGGACCAATTACGAGAATACATTGGCATGGGGGATTGCAACAGGATTACAATAATGGAAAACGCTGTGATGGTACACTGGCAATTACTTACATCGGATATGGATCCAAACATGATAGTAAGCAGGTACAAGCTACATCTTTGCTCTCTTGGGTCTTTCCCGCCGTTTTTTCTTGTGTCATCTGCAGCGTCACAACATGCGAATGAATCGGCGACTGGCAGCGAGGGCACCAATGATCGCGTTGCTTCGTATGCACCGACGGTACCTCTCGGAGGTTCTATCGAATCGAAGGAACAGGGTAAGCGTTTTCACATTGACGATTGACCCTGGCTGGATTATCTTCCCGTACACCACGATTGACTTGAAGCAGCAAAGGAAAAACGCATAAGAGAACGATTTCCCGTCCTGTTAGCCACTGAGTTCACCAGGATCTACTCAGAGTTTTGGAAAAACCCTGCTGCTGCGGTACCTTTCGGTACGGATGCACCAGATTGTAAAGGACCCTACCTACACTTGGTTGATATCAAGGTGCACAAGAGTGGCCCCGTGCAATCGGTGTACGAGGTGGAGCAACTCGACGACGAAATGTTGGATTATCACTTGATGGATGCCGACATGGACAATGCCGACATGGAAGATGAAGAGCGACTCAGCTACCTGGTCCCATTCCTCTGCCGCTCAAACTGCGGCTATGCATGCTGCAAAGACGACGGCGATGATTTTGATGACATTGATAAGATTGAGAAGCTGGTCGATGCCCCGCCACCACGCATTCTCCTGTGGAAGGATGAAGAAAATCACCCAACTGTTTGCCCTCTTTGCCTCAACGTCCTGTTTCTCAAGGAAAACGATTCCCGCGTCATACGTATACCGGATTCACAAACCGCTATTCATGGCACCAATGCTAGCAATCATGCGTCTGCTGATCACGGAGACGGTCATTCTATCCCAAGCCACGAAGATCGTAGTTCGTACTCTCGCAGCGGGTGTCTGACTTCCAGCGACGAACACCGGGATTCTGATTCCAGCGAAGATTCAGCCCCCTCGCTATAACCCTACTCTCTTGACGGGATGGTATTTTTCCGAGCATAAACACTACACGTTGTTTGGATTTGAGTATTCCTATGTTGTCAGTATGTTGGCATTGGGTACCATACATCGGCTATTGGGGGTTGGGTTTGTTATGCTCTCAAAGATTGATGATCAACGCTATCCCATAGTTGTAGAACATGAGTTATGGAAGTAGTAACCTCATGGTGCAAGTCGATAGAGTTGCGCGCCCATATTGTGAGCTGATACATGTCTGACATGGCATGCAACACGCCGTCCCTTTGATGATGTCAAAGAATTGATGAAAGAGAACAAAACCTGGTATATTGCTTCTCACAGTTGCAAAGACGACAATACTTCCGGATGTCTTTTGTGAAATTGTCGCACTCATTATATTTTGCTGGCCCGCTACCTATCCCTCATCGCCCTGTTCCGCTCTGCAGCGCCCATACATTTGGCAGCATCCACTCCCATCCCTATCCCATCATGGGCAACGCCCATTTGCACTCTAATATCTCTCTTGAGCTCTCTCATCTCTTCCCTCCACTCTTTCATTTTTCCTTCGAGTAATTCCACTTGGGCGCTGAAGACGCGGTACATGAGGAAGAAATATAAAGCATTGAAAGCGGCGTATACGATGTTTTCCTTCAGAGCGCTCATTGGTGCTTCCGGCTCGGCCCCTCCCAAGTTGCAAATGAGGTTGATGAAGTTGCCTGGGTGATTTGATTATGCGGATGTTGGTAGGGCTGTGGGACGCTGGAGGGGCTGTCTTTGGATGATGAACCAGTGTTTGGGATGAATGAAATACTCGGCAGAGTAATTTTGATAATCCAATGTCTCTAGGATTTTGAGATTTCAACTCAATCTCTACCATGCCCCGTCGCAGCTTATGTACCTTCTGCTTGAGTGCATTGGGAGGGCTGCGGTTACAAATAGCCGCAGTTGCAATAATTGCCTCATGCAAATGATAGGTTACAATGCGCAATTCTGTAGAGTTATTTGATCATACCGCAAGACGAGCATCGAGCTTTGGAAAGAAGGGGAATGTTTTGTTTTAACGGTCAAGTATTCCATTACCTAAGCGATTCCCGAGACGAGTAACTGCGTGAAAAGGGGGAAAATGCCGCAACGCAGAATAAGACTGGTGCTGGTCAGGCCACCGCACAAAGGCCTATGGTTGCTTGATGATTATGGGGTCGATGGAGAAGGAAGTCAGAAGGTTGATCTTACATCTGAAGGTTCCAATGTGTACGTGAGATAGAAGGACTATGCCAAACAATCGAGACGCCGATTGTACTTCACCGCTGTGGGCCATTATGGGCTTTCATCTTTCCCAGTCTCCACTTCCCAATGTCATTTCGCATGGTCTTGTTTCCCCGTGTTCTGTCACCCTAAGAGGCAAGTAAAAATCCGTGGCAGTAGTTGTACTACATTGGCGTACACGTCACGTATGATGATCGGCGCATAATTGCTTCTTCCATCCTGTCTTTGCCCAAAACGTAGAAACGAATCTCGGAGCCACGTGGGTGTCGTTTGGCCTTCTTTTGCAAGGTATGGGGGCTATTTGGTACAATGTTGGATCTTTTGATGATTGGCGACGGCACAGCTACTCCGAGAGATTAATGTACTCCTGTTTTTATCGCATACTACCATGAAACATAGCAAGCCTCGTGAACTACTTACATACTACCATGAGAGTTCGGCCCCACTCAGGGGGCTCTTTCCCCCCACGTACGCGCTTCTTACCCAGCGCAAATACGTAAAATGTGGCCACTATCACGCAAGGATTCTCATCCTAGCCTTGTAGTTACATATGTAGTCGCGTGTGAAGACTCGGTGTCATGCAGTTTCGCAGTCTCCTTACCCGGGTTTGCTGCCTATCCAGTGGCTCGCTTCGATGCGGTCATGGCCTGTGCGGCAGCTGGCAGCGCCCCAATGCCATCCACACCCAAACCCACACCCGCCTTGAAACGAAACACGCCAGGCAACCGCAACGTGTCTCCGGATCCGTCGCATGGCTTCTCCATCTTTCTCCACTGCGGCCCGTCTCTCGTTCTTCGTGCCGCAAGATTAGGGGGACCAATCTTTCTCCGCCAAGTCTACCAGTATCACTCCCGTGCTACGCATTGTCGCAAGATTTCAGATCCTTTGAGGAATCGGCCAGAATCCCGGCACATAGTTAGGAAGCAATAGACAAGAACGAGGTTGTACACGACTTGAAATGGATAATCGAAGGACTCCTACCTACTCGGCAGTAGAAGCTTCCCGCTTCGAGCATTCGCTGTGGACTTGAACGAAAACAAACCACACCATGTTTGCATCATCCTATACTAAAACGAATACCATTCTGTCCTCCCCATTTCTTTATTTGCAACAACGGACTGTCGGTACTCAGTAACGAGAAACTCCCCCTAAGATACTGATCGCGTGCACCGTTGGCCCACCTTTCACCAGCATTTTCCCAAACAAGACCGCCAAAACACTAGCGAGAACACCACACGGACATGCAATGACTATTCTACCGACTTCATTGGTGACCTGAACGGGCATGGGGTACTTGGCAACGCAATTGCAAATTACTTCTGTCTCATGTGCCTGCGAATACGCGATGGATTCTCCGGTAGCAGGGTTCTTCAACTGTGCCACACTCGTGCAGAACTTCCATACAACTGTGTCAGGTAAGTGTTGGTACCTAGAGAGAACATGATAAAGGTGAGGGTGAGGCTCCATAACTCTTGCCACATATTCAGAACCATCATTGTTGACTACCGTACCATACATGTTGAGAAGGGTGAGCACACCCGTGTTTCCATTCAGTGCCCAGAATTTAACACCAAGAAGCAGACTGTAGAGAATACAGACGTCATGTCTTCCCCTAACGATGCCTCAAAGAATGAAGCGTCGTTGGGAGTAGATGATGCGACTTTACGTCCTTTTACGTTCGTTTTTCGCTCTGGAACTACATTCCCCAGTGCGCGGACGGCACAGGATTTTATCCGTTCTCGCGAATCTACAAAATCTCCTTCTGGAGCCGACGTTCCAATCCCGTCAATTGAGAGCGAGAACTCTATTCTGAGCAGCCGTGGAGTCAGTCCAAGCTCCCTGAATCCAACAAGATGGAACACCCCGCAAATTCACTCAACAGTGGACACTGTTTGGGAACAGACGACTGCTCTACGAAACTTTAGATTGACTTCCGCATGTCCTTCAGATCAGCATTCCCGTCTACAGACGCCGAATCCTTCATTTTGAACTTCATTATCTACGCCAGCAAGAGATAACGGTCTGGCAGCTGGCGATGTGGTGGAAAGCCTGGGCGCCCTTCGCCTTCAATCTCGGCAGTCTACCCCCATGCCACGCATCGCACCCTCAACCTATAGCCCATCTCCATCTTCCAAAAGGGCCTATCAAGTCGAATGCGAAGAACCACCCAGTAACCCTTTTTATCACATCAAATTCCAGAAAGCACTCTCAGGAGCCATGCCATGCATCTCCAATCTGAACAGGGTCTTGTCTAGTACCACGCTACATCAGAAGGCTGGGTCGACTGTTCACAGCCTTCAGCAACAGGCTGTGAATCTGGGGCATCAGGAGCTTCCCTCGTCGCGCATTGTTGGTATGATAGGTGATTCTGCAGTGGGAAAGAGCAGTCTCATCAACTCACTACTCGATAAGCCAAACCTAGCAAAGTCGGTAAGTAAGATCGTAGCAACTTGCGAAACAAAATTGCTAACACGTAATTGCGCAGAGTGGCAATGGTACTGCTTGTACCTGTACGGTGACAGAATACGTGTATCACGATAGTGATAATTTTACCATCCGGGTCCAGTACTTCGACCGAGATGAGCTTGAGTATCAATTGAAAGACCTCGTGAGCGCGTACCGAAACATAAAGGAACCTCATGATACTATGGAACCAGGGCAGCAGAACAAGCCAGACCTGCAAGAGAACAAGGAAGCTTTGGTACACAAGGCCAATCTCGCGAGGCAAACCTTTGAAGCAATTTTCACTCGACATCTCAAAGAAGATCCCGAAGCTCTCTCACGCGAAGAGTTCAATGTCACTGTCGAGAAGATGATGCTCTGGGTCCGGGAACTGCTTCCAGAATCCGAAGACGAGGAATCTTTTGCTGCCCTCCAAGAGTGCGCTGATCGGCTGGTCATTCTGACTTCGGGGACCGGCGATTCATTCTCGAGTTCACAATCTGGCATGCGCTGGCCTTTGATCAAAAGTATGAAGGTATACTTGAGAGCAGTCATACTGAGCAAAGGACTCATCTTAGCGGACGTGCCTGGGCTTCGCGACAGCAACCCTGTGCGTGCACGGATCACGGAGCAATATATTCGACAATGCGATCAGATCTTTGCCGTCCTACCTATCCAACGGGCTGCTGACGACAAAAGCCTCGATAACATATTCAAGCTAGCCCAAGACGCGAATCTCTGCAAAGTTGACATAGTATGCACCAAGTCCGAGGATGTGAATACTGCAAATGCTGCGTCTGAATGGGCAGAACACAAGGGTGAAATTGAAGCGCTTCAAATTGAGATGGATAACATACGTGACAATATCAATGAGATAGCAGAAGCTTTGGCCGAAGAAGAGGATCTCGGTTTCGGAACCGAGAATCTCAAGAGAAATGGAAGGTACCAAAAGTTGTTATATGAACATCGTAAGTTGGAGAAAGACAGACAGTGCAAAGAGCACGAGTTGCCACATCGGCTCATTCAGATCCGCAATACTTCAGTCACTGCTAAACTCCACCACAAATACAAGGACCTCGAAGCCGCAAAACGCCCCAAGATATTCTGTGTAAGCCACATATTGTACACGGATAATCGTACCGGAACTAGTGCAGTGCATCTTGCCGCCATCCGCATCAGTGGTATTCCAGATCTTAGACGACATTGCATTGGTATCATTGCAGAGAGCCATTACCGGATTTCTAAGCAACTCATCGATCACGAACTCCCAGCATTCCTTGGTTCGGTCGAGCTATGGGTGAATTCTGGAGGTGGCAATGCCACATCGGAACAGCGGAGAATTCGCGAAATCCTACCCAAGATTGACGGATACTTGCTTCAGGTACGAAACCAATTGACTGTTGCATGCTGATAGCCGCATGTCACATCCAACGCAACCCACCTCTTCGCCTAGTTGTTTGAGGCAAGACAAAAAGTCCATGCTGATATTCTTCCGTAGTTTGAAGACGAAGAGATGTTGATTCATGCCATGTTGCGCGTCTTGCTAGAGAAGTTCAAAGAGACGATAGAGGATCGTATGAGTATGTTTCCACTTTATCTATTGAATTCCTGCTTTCCCCATTAACTTTTATTTTCCAGTTTCATCGGCCACAAAGTGGTCTGAATATGCCGAAAAGGCTAGCAAATTATGGCATGAGGTACGTATTCAAGCTGCAGGTATGAATGATACTTGACGGAATATCTGCTGACTAAGTATTAGTGGAATGCAGCTACGTATTCTGCATTCTGTCGCCATAAAGGAGACCATTCTACACAAGCAGTTGGCTACCGTAATTGGAACGATGAAGCGATTGCTTGTTTGAAAAAAGATTTGAACTCTGCTTGGGAAGCTTTTGTTGGGATTCTGAAAGGGAAGCTGAAAGAGCTAACTGATGACATAAAAAGACTGTTTGATCGTATGCACACCTTGGCAATGCCTCAACAACAAAACGGAAAGTCTTTGGTTCTGAGCCACACTTCCGCAATCCGGGGGCTCCGCAATACCCTGATACATCGCAGGGACATTGCACTGGTAGGTATGGGGGAGAGCCAGGAATGCTTCTGGTCAGGAATGGCCACACTCAAAGTGAATACTCTTGGGTCTTTACAAACGGCGTTTGTAGGAGAGTGCATGAAGAAGACGTACAACGAAGCCAATAGTGAACACGGTAAGTGCTTTTTTCTCATCAGCATACTCTTTTGCGGCCCAGTACTGATATAGCTCTAGGTCCGGGGTGCACAAAAAGGAAAAGGGCGTTGATTACAGGACGATTCGGCTCTGAGGCGTTGTTCTTGGACATGCGGAAAGCATGCAAGGTTCATTTTGCACGTCTCGCAGAAGAACTGCAAGTTGATATGTGCAATGTGCTGCGAGCGCAGATTAGTCTTATTGAGAGGGATCTGTACACGTTGCGAGAGAGCCTTGCAGAGCTGAATCGTGACCGCGATCCAGGTTTCAGGGAAAGAGTAAAAAGAGCAATGGTGGATACGGAGGAGAAGGTCGCCGAGGCTCAGAAGCTCGTTCGTGAGGCAGAAGAAGAGATGGATGTGCGAGTACCTTGAGTTCTTTTTGTATATCATCTTGTTTTGCAATCAACGACATCCACTTCTTGCATCGATTGTTGCTTCGCCACATGGTAAACTCATCATAGGATAACATCTGATAGCTTGGCCATAGAATCAATACCAGATTAGGGGAAATAAGACTTGCATATTAAATGATTAGATTTAGCTGTTATGTATGCGACCTATTCCCATCTCAGATGTATACAAGATAGAAAAATATTCTAGGACGATGTGTGGTCTCCCGTGACCTGAGGGACACCAGCGCAAGGACCGTCGCCTTTACTGCCGGGCCAATTGCACTTGTTGAATGTGAGAAAATTGTCCGGGGTGGCGAACCAGATGGACTGGCAAGATTGGTACGTGTAATTCACCTCGGGGAGGTATACGCTATTTGGCCTGTCATTGAAGCAGCACGTTGTCTGTGATTAAGCGAAATGAATGTGTTAGCTTGTTACTTTTTGTGGTTGACTTTCTTTTTCGGAGGGGATGGAGACTTACGGGACCACCGCTGTATACGCAGCAGGAATTAACGCCAGCGGCACCATAAATGCCACCCCAAGTTGGGCAGCTGCCGAGAGGAACGGCTGGAGCTGCGGCTGCAGCTGCTGCTGCTGCTTGAACGGCAGGACTGTCGGATACAGGGGCAGCAAGAATGCTAGCGGCGCCGGCAAGGGCAAGAAAGACAGCAGAGGCGTACATGTTGAACGTTTGAGAAGTTTGTGATTGAATGAGGGATTAGAGATTGTAGTTTAAGCGAATGGACTGTGGAGTGAGAAGATGCTGTGAGGCGTGAGTAGGATGAATGCTGGAAAAGACAAGTCCTTATAAGGTTGCGTTTCTTGAAGCGTATAACCTACAACATGCTTAAGCGAGCATTAACAGCGCTTCCAAAACGGGAAGGACGTTGTGATTAGTTTCCTATGGTTTTGGAAAACTAATTTTTGAAATTGAAATTCAATCTCCGTTAAAGCACCGCGCACTTACTTATAGGCAATGATAAGTCAGCTTACAGGGATGTCCTTGCGGGGTATCAAAGCAAATACACGTGGACCAATCTATAGAGTTGATTGTACTGGCATTCTCAAGGAACATAGGATGATTATTCTCCTATATGTAGGAACTTCTTTGTATTGATCTTGCTCTCTGGTCAGTGTATCTGTGGTCGTAATCGTAATGGCTTAGCTTGCAGGATTGATGGAGTTGTTAGCGACGGACATGCGGTCGGAAACAAGCTAGAAGCATTGCAGAAACAAACGAGGTAAAACAGGGATACAGCTTAACTATTGGTAGCAAGAGTGGTTAACCCCAAGGATAACTCTGCGGGGAAGTGTAAGAAAATCACCAGAAGGGTCCCACCGCCCGTTACTGCTGTGTCCCCTGTGCCCGAAGCTTCCGGACTAATTGATTTCTAAACTATAATTATCCGAATTCGTAAGCTAATCGGCACGACCAAGCATCCACTTAACCGATAAGGGGTTGCACTAAACCAGAACATGATGCACTAAGCTTTTAGCCAAACAAGAAAAAAGTATAGGTTTACAGCCTCTTGCATATATCCTCGATAATCTCATCCGTCTTGGCCTTGCCACCCATGTCTGGGCTCAAAAGCTTACCCTCCTCGAGGTTTGCATCGACAGCAGTGTAAATCCTGGCGGCAGCCTCTTCTTCACCGATGAACTCGAGCATCAAGGCAGTAGATCGGATGGTAGCAATTGGGTTGGCAATGCCCTGGCCCTCAATGTCGGGGGCAGAGCCATGGCAGGGCTCACCAATGACAAAGTCCTTACCAACGTTGGCGGAGGGAACGAGACCGAGAGAGCCGACCAGGGCGGCAGCACCATCGGACAGAATGTCACCGTAGAGGTTGGGGGCGACAATGACGTCGTAGTCCTGAGGTTGGCGGAATAGCTTGTAGACCATGGAGTCGACAATCTGCTCCTCAACGCCAACCATTTGGTACTTTGCGTCTTGCAGAGCACGGCGCGAGGTCTCGCGGAAAAGGCCGTCGGTCTGAGACAGGACGTTGGACTTGTGGGTGATTGTGACGAGGGGGCGGGAGTGGATGGAGTTGCCACCAGCATCGCGGACACGCTGCCTTCGCAGGGCAATGTCCCCGGCCATGGCTGCAATGTTGAACGAGGCCGTCTCGGAGATGCGTTTGATAGCCTCGGCAATCTTGGAGCCGTCGGGGGCAGTGTACGTCTTCTCCTCCTTGACGTAAAGGTCCTCGGTGTTCTCACGCACAATGACCAGGTCCACGTCACGCAGACCTCCCCGGACGCTCTTGACAGGGCGCACGTTTGCGTATAGCTTCATCTTCTTCCTCAGCGCCACAATGGGGCTTGAGTAGCCCTTGGTCTGAACCGTGGGCGAGCTGACGGCGCCAAAGAGGGCGCCATCGCAGTCGGACTTGAGCGCCTCGACCGTCTTGTCGGGCAGAGCAGCGCCCGTCTTCTGAAATGTCTCCCAGCCGGCCTCGTGGTGCGAGAAGGAAAACTTGAGGCCCAAAGATGAGGGCAGAGCCTCGAGAATGCGACGACCGGCGGGGATGACTTCGCGGCCAATGCCGTCACCGGGAATGAGGCCTGTTGAGGTTAGTGAGGGAGGGAGGGATTGGTGTTGTGGCAGTTAATGTTGTGGCGGAGTAGATACACCAATTGGCCTTTGCCAGACAGGCTGTGGGGGGTTTGGAGTGTTGCATGGGGATTTCTTACCAATCCTCAGCGTGCGTGCGGCCATTGTGAAGCTGTGACACAAGAGAAGTCAATGTTATGTGCCTGGGAATTTTTGGGGTTGCAGCTCGCCGAACTTCGGAGCCCCGGGTTTATCCGTCCTCTCCGCGGCGTGCGCACTGCTAACAAGTACGTAGTCGAGGAAGTAAGAAAATTGGCCTTGATTAGAGAAGATGGCCTACAGTGACGATATATCAAAAAAATACCCGATTTCATCCCTCGACACTATTTAGATTTGACAAGCGTGTGTCCTTGACCCGACGATGGTGTTGATTGGACAGCGGGTACAACTAGCGACGCCCGCCCGTACCCCGTGGGGAGGGCCAGTCTTATTACATGTGGTAGTAACACCAGCAATACCACAAACAAAACACCACCCTTAGCCATGCTAACCAACCAAACCAGCTATAGCCCTGTACATCTATCGTGCATTCCAATACCATAACGCCGCGCTGATGCATACCCTCCAAGACACCCTGCGCATCATGCATGACTACGTCATGTCCTAGTCCAGCTCATCGTCTTTGCTATCTTTCCCTGCCTCCTTCTCTCCCTCTTTACCATGGACCTCTGCAAACTTTTCTTCTGCGTCCTCGACACCCTCCTTCTTGGCCTGGTCCGTGGGCAGCAGCTCAATAACCACGACAAAGAGCTCCTGGTTGGTCTCGCGATTCTTGAGCACGTACCTAAGTGTGTGCGAGCTGATTAGTGAATGATCGCGTCAGCTCCTCATCCCGATCCAAGCAAAAAATTAACGTGTGATTACGTCCCAAGAAATAAATCCAAACACTGCTAGGAAAGGAGCCACTTACCGCAACGGTTGTCCGTCCCAATGTCTAATCATGGAAATGTTCGGCAGTCCGTAACCAATCTTTAGCGCAAACTCGTTAAAGTCCAGATAAGGGTTGAAAAAGTCGCACTGGTACTCCCTGCCTGCCTCAAAGGTGAAGTCCTTGCGATTCTGTTCAGTGAGGAAAAACTTTTGCCGGGCGCCCGCCTTATCAGGTATACCCTTTTCCTTCCTGACCGCAGCGCCCTCGCCATCTGCGCCCTCTTCGTATACAACGACCTCGTCTTCTGAGCCGCTCTTTTCTACATCCCCCTCGGTCTGCGCCTCTCCCTCCGAATTCTTGTCTCCAGGTTGTTCGTCCTTCTTACTGCCGATGCGAAAGACGTTGATGGACGAAAGCAGCGCCCCGTACAGATACGGCTCGTCCGCGTACACATCGCCATCCAGCCCAGGATCAATCCACCACTTGACGATACCAAACGCCTTGTCAAACAGTGGCGGCAACCGGTCGCGAATCGGGTGGTCAAAGTCGTTTCCAAACACAAGCTTGTCGCCCGCAATGTCCTGCTTCGGGGTAAAGGAAAATGATATCGAGTAGCGGTCGTATGGGTGTTGGGGCGTGGAGAAGTATGGTGACGTCGATGGCGAGCCTTCTGGTAGTCCTTTGGAGAGTGAGGTTAGTCACTGATGGGCGGGGCATGAGGGGCAAATGTACCGCGATAGTCCTTGATGCGCATATGCACCTTCGCGTCAATAAGGTCCGACGATATGCTCACTGGCTTCTCGCGATTCACAGGCACAGGCTCATGCTTAGACACATCGTATGTCGGCCCTGCCGTTACGCGCAGCATATACTGCTCGTGGCTCGTCATGCCTTCCGATATATTTGTGGATGTGCGAATACTTTTTTTGGATTTTCTGATCTGGGTGCCAGAGATGGAGAACCTGGTGACTGATCAATAACTACAAAAAAGGCGGGTATGGCTGAGAAGGAGACCTGCGAGGATGAAACGCCGCCCGCGCTTTCGCCGCCGCCCAAATTTTGGTGATTGCTGATGACGTTCCCAGGGTGCATGGCCAGGGATCGACATGCTAGTCCCGATATGGAATGGGGTCGTCTGCCTCGCAGATCATCACAGCCTCCGCTCTCCACTGCGCCCAGAACCCATTAACACCAGGGACATTGTATCTATTCAACCCATAAGAAAACCAAAGAAACCCTAATATAGAGACTCGTCCAAACCTACACTCCATAGCCATCCGTATCCCAGCCACTAAACCCTCGTGAATGAATCAATGTCTACTCGCTCGTAGAACGACACGTGACCAAACGTCTCCCAGTATTGCGCGATCCGGTCATGAGATATTAAAATGAGCTGCGATGCCATGTAGTTATCTGACCCTTAGGTTAGTAATCGCCACCATCATGTCGCATTTACAAAAGCATACCGTCTCGAAATCCTGTCGCTGCAATGTGCCCTACACTGCGCACAATTCGCGCGCCTTGAAAGATTTCCTCACTTGCCACCCTCAGCAACCCGTTCGGGCCAATGTCAGGTGCAATAAATGTATACTCCCCTCTCGGTATGTTTGGGTCACCGGTCAACTTGACGGCTTCGATGCGGCCACGGTAGACCGCATCGCCGTCCTGTTGTGCGTCACCTTGACCGCGACTTTCCGATGCCCGTTCGTGGTATGACTGTTGGAGAGTTGCGACACTATCTTCCAGATCATCGGCATTTTCCATCTGACCATCTTCGTCATCGGAATGCGCTGCGTCGGTGGGTGCAGTAGTCCATGACCCCTCACTGCTCACACTTTCCTCGCGCTCCGCTGCTCGCAGAGCCCACTCGGCTCGTTCTGGAAGAGGTCTTGGATTATCAGGCTGCATGACAACTAGGAACTCACAACCATGCCCAGCATAATCGCCGCACCAGATGCCCTGCCATGGCTTTTGTCGAGTCGGAGTGTAGCACTCCTCGGGTAGCGTCGCCCACGTCGAAATGTTCTCGCCAATTCGCATGTTAAATCTTATTGACTGAGTCGCAAATTGCATCCACTTGCGCAACCTAAATGTCGAAGTAGACAGCTGGTTGAGTAAGCCAGGCTTGTGTCCAGATTGCGTGAACCCAGAAGGCGACTGGTCGTTGCGAGTGCGATGAACACTGGGCACTGTA